ACATACTGTCACATTGCTTGTTTGGCAATCAAACTGCTAGACCAATGAAGGCATACTACATAAACCTAGTTAATGATTTGGATGCATTCAATGCTTATCCATGGGGTGATGACGTTTGGGATGATTTAGTTAACAAGGTGAAGCAGAGTTGTGAGGCACTAGATAAAGGAAAAGGAGATCGAGTGACATTCCCTGGCTTCATGGTGGCATTCCAGTGGTGGGCATTTGAAACATTTCCTGGTTTAGCAAAGGCTGGTTTGTGCAAGGTCATGAATGGGACTGAACACATCATGCCAAGGACTCTAAAGTGGGAATTTAAAAAAAAACCTACACTAGAGGTGCTTTCTGAAATTATATTCAAGAATGATAAGGTATTTTATTGATTGGTATGTAAATTTTTAAATGTTTATGTGCACACATTGTTTACTAACATAGTCTATTGGTTTAGTTTGAATGGATGCAGATTGTACCAACTGCAGATGAGATTGCTATGATTGAAGAAGGAAATGAAATAAATGAGGAGGTGATGCTGTATCAACAATGTTGGCCGAGTTGATGCTGAAAAGCCAAAAACTATTGTAGCAAAAGGGAAAGAAAAGGTGATGCAGCCCAGAGCAAGCAAAGGAAAAACAACAAAAGGAAGGAAGGGAACTGGTAAAGCAATCAAATCTCAAGAAGGACCTTCTAAAAGAAGAAAGCAGGCTAGGGTGGAGCAAGAGATTGATGATGACTCAAGTGAGCAAGAAAGTACTGAAGGAGAAGAGACTGAGAGTGATGATTCTACTGACGGTGGACGTGATGGAGAGAAATATGTAGTTTTCATGAGCAAAGACAGCAAGAGTCTCAAAAAAAGCATGAGAAAACAAGCCAAAGAGATTGCCAGATTAGTGGCAGAAATGAAAAATATTAAGAAGACTCAGCAAAAGCAAGAGGCTCTTATTAAAGATGTCATTCTGATGCTCCACAAAATGTCAAAGGGTGTTGAGAAGAGTGAGCCTACAATAGCAAGTGCAAAGGGTGATATCGATGAAGAAGAAAGTAAAGAAGAAGAAGAAGAAAATGTTAATGGAAAAGAAGATGATGGGTTTGCCATGACAGGGCAAGATTCTGAGAATGATGAGGAGCATGAGATGAAGGATGATGATGTTGTTGATATGCATGAGGAGACTGAGGATGGTGTTGTACAGAATGAGGGTGAGAATCTAACCAACAAGGATGGTGTTTTAGAGAATGAGGATGTTGGTATAGAGAAAAAGGATGCAAATGTTGAGAGTGACGATTCAGGTGTGAATAAGGAAGCTAATGCAAAGACTGAGGACTCTAAAGAAGAGACTGAGAATGCTGGTGGTGTTCCTGTAGACAAAAATGAAAAAGAAATGCAAGAGAAGAACACTGAAGAAGAACAAGAAGCTTGTGACATGCCTACGTTTAACATATTGACTCAGTCTCAAGGTAGTGAGAAAAAAAAAGAAGACACTGTGAAAATGCAAGAGGAGGGACTATTTGCACAAGAAAATAAAAATGACACTGCTGAATCTGGTTGGGGTATGGGGTCACAGGACAATAGTCAGTTTATCCTAGAGATGTGCAAGAGTGCAGATGAAGTGGCAAAAAAGGCTTTTGAGAGCTATTCTTCTAATCCATGCAGAGCAATTATAGTAAAGCCTGACCAGGTAAATACCAAAAACTCAGTAAAATGACATTCAAGTGACCTTTTCACATGTTAAAAATGACATTTAAGTGGCAATGTTTATGACCTATATGTTCATGAAAATAGTTTAAAAATTGATTATAATGCCTATATTTTTATTACTATTTTGTACTATGACATTAAGTGTATTAATACACGTTATTTTGTAGAGATGTTTTGTACTATTCTTATAAGTTATACAAGTTTTTCCAATTTGTTTAGTCTGTCTAATTACTTTATTTTGGCCAAAATGGCATGTCAACATTGTGATGTCATTTAGTTAATCGATAAATGACACATTTCAAAGTTTATGTCATTTTGTTTTATACAAACTGTCATCTTGTGTAATTTATGTGATCTTGTGTCATTATAATGTCACAGGAGGATCTTCCCAAACAAAAGCGTTTTGCTAGGTCACCAGTGAAGTACACTCCATCTGAGCATTCAGCAAAGAGGAGGAAAAGAGAAAAGGGTAAGAAAAGAGCTGATGATGAATTTCTGCCTCCACTCAAGGAAGTAGTTGGACCTTTCACAGAAGATCCAACAGAGAGCCCACCAGATCATGAAATAGAGAGGGTGAGAGAATACCTCAAAGTTGGATTGTTGAAGAAGTTTCAAAAAAGCAAAAATCCTAGAAGGTACACAATGGATGAAGACAAAATGATTCAGAAGCCGTTCTTGCTAGACTGTATGAAAGTTGAATCAAAAACATGGTTGTATGACATGTTTATGAATCATGAATGGATCACTGACAAGGTACATGCAAAAATGTTATATATTTGTCAATCTAACTCTCAAGTGTACATTTATATACATGTGTGTTTGTATAGATTGCCATTAAGAGGCAGTTTACTTAATTTGTAATTGATAAATCTGTATTTTATTTTTTACAGCATGTTGAGGTAGTAATGTACTATTTGGGCATGAAAAGGGTGCATTACAAACTGGCACAGAAGTACACCACAACTGGGCCGTTTTTCTTGCAAATACTGAAGAGAGAGCTTGACAATATATCAAAGGGGCACTGTACATACCACAAGTCAGCAGAAGAAGAAAACATTGTTCGTGACATAATAGGTGCTAACAACTTCAGCCTACACTGGAGCAAAGCAGACTATGTGTACTTCCCTCTAAATACCGGCAATCATTGGGTTTTGTTAGTCCTAGATATCAAGCAAAGAAAGATAAGAGTCTACAATTCCAATGCCAGAAGAGGGGATTCACTTAGGGATATCAGGTCCTATTTCGGAAGCATAACAGCCCTCCTGCCCAGAATAATGGACTATCACAAAGTGTACGAACAGATGGGTGAGGAACCTATGGGTGAAAGGTTTTTGGCAGTTGAGCCTGTAGAAGGATGTCCACAACAAGATGATGGGTAAGAAGATATAAATTTGTTTAAACAAATTGTATAATAGTGTACTATTTTATTTTAAAAAGTTCTTTTAACTTTTGTTGTTATGCATCAGGGGAAACTGTGGAATTTTCATGCTCAAGATGGCAGAATTTCTAATGGTGGGGATGGAAATGGATGGCATATATCCTGAAGCAATACCCTTGTTTAGGGAAAAAATGACAACTGAACTGCTGCTATATAGCGAGAGGAGACAACGAGAGAGAGAATGAAATGAAGCTATGAAGAAATGGGATTGTAGAACGAAACAATTATGTTTGTTTTGGAAGACTATGTTATATTTACTAGTACTTTTAACATCATTTCATGACATCTACACATCTAGTACCTTTGTTATGGAAAACTTGGTGAACACAACTTTCATTGTGTTTTGAATGTATGAAATATGCTTTAGACACTATCACATGTCATTCTGAGAATGCATTTTATTGAGGTTGCATTCATTGAGGTTGTGAAAATGCATTTTATTGAATTATGTTCAAAAAATGCCTTGATTTTTACATTGTGGATGCCTTGTGTTAATGCATTCAACATGTTACTTATATTTATGTAAGCATGGATTGTTACTAACTGAAGAAAATCTTGTGTCAGTTGGATTGCATATGATTAAAATGTAAAATGGCAATCACAGAAATGACATTTAGATGACAGTTTGTAGAAATCAAAATGACGTAGAGTTTGAAATATGTCATTTAGCTATAAACAAAATGATATCACAATGTTGACATGCCATTTTGGCCAAAGTGATATATATTTTATTGAATTATGTTTAAAATGTGGATAGTTTATATAGAGAATTTTTTATATGTACATGCAACATGATTTACATATAGATCGATACTAGCATTGAATTTAATTTACAAGCAGCAAATAACAGACAAAGAAGTGACAAGTAACATGACAATTTTTGGAAAACCAAATGTCATAACATCTGACATATGTCATTTACTTATAAAAAAATGACATTACATTATTGAGATGACATTTTGGGCAAAGTAATTGGCTAAAGTAAAAGTAATAAACACTTAAATGCCAAGAATGGGTAAATCACAAAACCTTAAACATTCAAGGAAATGATAACCAAGTCCAAACAGAGTAGTTACAAGTACAAAATAACAAAAAACAAAATAGAATGAAGTAGCCATGACATCACTGGGTATTGATTGGAATGGGATTCCTACAAGTTTTCTTATTATGCCCAACCACATGACATCTAGAACATCTTTGTCTTTTTGAACCTCTATATTCTCCCATGGATGGAATCCTGGATTTCTTCGGGCGACCAGGAGGGCGCTTCATACAAGTTGGTGGCTTGCATCGTTGGTTTTGAATAGTAGCAGGAATGGACCAACTGTTTCTATCTGCAATAGGATGCATAATACCAGACCATGTAGCAAGCCAAGCATCTCTAGTGTAATAAGGAGAAATGTAAGTATAGCATGACAGATGTGGACGTATAGCAATTGCAGCAACCGCATGAACACAGACGAACTGATCTAGTTGAAAGTGACCGCAAGTACAACTCCTAGAGTTGAGATTGACCACAAAGGACGTGCATCTGCTATCAACAACTTGAAATTCATATGCACATGATGGTTTTACCTAGGAAATACACAAAATATGAATAAAAAACTGACAGATAATAGAACCAAATGATATAATGATAACCAAACTGGAATAAAAAACTGACAGATAATAGAACCAAATGACATAACGATAACCAAACTGGAATAAAAAACTGACAGATTCTAGAACCAAATGACATAATGATAACCAAACTGGAATTACATAAGCACATAAAAAACTGAGAACTGATTTATGGAACCAAACTGGAATTATATAAGCACATAAAAAACTGAGAACTGACTTATGGTAAAAGAATCAGCTTTGACATACCCTCATGCGTGTAGCTTCAGCTTGCAAAGCTAAAAGACGTTTCTCACACTTCCGTGTGAGTATAGTACTTGTTTTCTCAGCTTTTTCTTTCCTCTCTGTGAACCATTGCTGCATCCTTTCACGCAAGAAGTCAACAAGTTTAGATACTGAATATTCTCTTGCACAGACATTGACATTGTTCATAGATTCAGCACAATTGGATGTCATAATATTATATCTCTTTGGCCCAGACATTACTTTTGACCATGTGTTAGGACCTAGTTTCTCTAGCCATGTCCTTATCCGGGGATCTTCAGAATCCAACATCGATAAGTAGTCCTCATACTCTTTAAGAGTTGCTGCCATATAGGCAGCTTTAAACTTCCATCCCAATCCAGCTGCAGAACCTTTGAATTTAGGTATCATGTTACGTCGCAGATGAGCAACACAAAAACCGTGGCTAGCATGTGGCAAGATTTCAGAAACAGCCTTTATAAGTCCTTTATGCCTATCAGATACTACATACAAGTCATGTCTGTACTTTATGGACTGACAGACTTTGGATAAAAACCATTTCCAGGATGATTTCGTTTCAGAAGCACAAATTCCAAATGCAATAGGAACGATGTGATCATTGGCATCTTGGCAACAAGCTGTCAGAAGAGTGCCTTTATAGTAAGCCTTCAGGAAAGAACCATCCAATATAAGAACAGGTCTGCAGTAGGGCCAAGCATTTATCCATGCACTAAATGACATAAAAAATGTACAAAATGCATCATCCTGCCCTGTGACTAGATCAAACACAGAGTCAGGATTCGCCTTGTCTAGCACATGAGCCATAGAAGGCAAAACCTAATAGGATTCAAGATCAGAACCAAATTCCAGCTGCATTGCTTTCTTCTGTGCTTTCCAAGCTTTGTTGTATGACATGGAAATTCCATACTGCATAAGCATATCTTCACGAATTTGCTTTGGTGGGTATGATTTACTGGAAGCGTCAAGGTATTTGTGTGCAATAAGATTTGCTATTACACTAGCAGTTGCCTGTCTATGTTTCCCTTGTCTGTAATCAATAGAGCATGTGTGTTCTGGACGGAATCTAAAGTGACAAAAACATGGCATTTTTATACAAGTAAGTAATATGAAGTTGGCAGTCCTGTATAAGAATGACACCAGAACATGGCATTCTTATAAACTACTGTATAATGAACAATGAAGTTAATTGAAGAAGGAAAATTGAAGTTACCTTCTGATTTGAAACATTGCTACACCGTGTAGTTTTACAGCTCGAACAGTCCAACGACATTCAGGATCTAAGCATTTAACATGCAAACATATTTTCTTCGAGGTCTTAGTTCTGTATTGAAAGTGGTTTGTGATAGCATACATCTTCAGATGGTGGATAAGGTCTTTTTTATTTTTGTAAATAGCATGAAGAAGAAGACAAGTAGGATGGGACTGTGTGATGACTTCAAAATTTTGCAGAAATGACAAGGACTCAGATGATTCAGTTAAAACCCCATCTAAAATGTCATCATTGTCTTCACTATCCTCAGATGAATCATTTTCTACAGTTGCAGACACAGTGTTACCACAAGAAACAAAATCTTCAGATTGGCCAGAACTTAACCCAGATGGGATAACATTTTCAGATTGGTCAAATGGTGGACCATCATCAAAAGAAAGTGCAGGTGAGGAGGCAAGTTGTTGGGCAGAAGAAACAACATTAGCATAAGTGATATGTTGCTGTGACACATTAGAAGAAGAAACAACATTCTGTGAAACATGGGAAGAAGAAACAACAACACTCTCATAAGGGGTATGTTGCTGTGAATCAATGACAAGATTCTCAGAAGGTTCAACATCAATAGAAAATGGAGGTGAAGATGAAATAGGATAAAACTCAACACAAAGTGGATACTTTTGAAAATCTGGTTGAAGAGACTTAATATAAAGATAAAATGTTAAACTAGATTGATCATTTATAGTAATAGGAGGAGGGCAGCCATCTCGCATATAAGAAATCCTGAAGTTGTAATTAGGTTTGTACTGTGAAAGAATGCCACTCAAGGAGTCAATAAAAGAAGCATATTGAACAGTGTAGTTAACACGAAGACCACATGTGTGGACGTTGTTGAACATGTAGTCAGAATCCCAAATGCCATCCACCTTGAGCATAACAAGTAAAGTAGCATCCATCGTGGTAAAAAGCATCCTAAAAATGAACCGAAACAAAGATTTCAGTATGACAATATTGACAGTTCAGACAAGAAAATGACAGTTCTATTACCAGATTTGACAGTTTATAAGACAGGCTACAAAATAATGTTGACAGTCTACAAACATAAAATGGAGAAATTAAAAATTGCACATACATGACAGTTAGGAAAAACTAAATGAAAGTTTGAAGGGGGGTAATTATGAGGAACTAGCATAGAGAATTTTAAACAACCAATAAAACATAACAATGTAATTTAATGAAATAAAATAGAGTGCAACTACAAACTAATTAACTAAATGTTGATTATAATGAAAAGAAATTGCAAATCGATCATATGATGATGAAGAGATCAAAGGTTTGCTATATGAAAACAGAGCTTCAAGAATAAAAACAGACCGCAAATACATTGGCTTATGTATACAACTGAAATATAATCCAAACAAAGTCCAAGCAAATCCGAATTCAGGTTAACATCTATTGAAGAACAATTGACGAACGAAAACAAAATCATGGCCGTAAGAAGCTATTTTGAAAGCAGGAAAAAAATCGAAGTGAACGTACTCTGCTAACGAATGAACAACTGCGGCAGCTATGACGTAAACCTACTCCAGAAATCCATGGCGGAAGAATGAGGACAACGAAGGTGTAGTTAAGTTCATCAAACTTAGGAAACTTATGGCGATATACAATAGGAAACGAATTTGATAGGAAACTCCTAAACAAACTGGATAACCGGCAAAGGCCGGTAAATTAGTTATGAGATCGTAAATTGAAGTAGGGGTATTTAGGAGATTGACTAAACTACTAAAACGCATAAGAGGAGCGTATCGGTCTTATTAACCGATAAAAACTTCTTAGGTCCTATTATTAGTTTTTTAGCATGTTTAAGTCCTATTATGGCTAATTTCTTATAAATATAGTCTGTGTCCTAACTGGAATGACAAACTCAATGCTAATATACTGCAGACCAAAATCTCAATGTTAATCAAACGTCTATAACATCTTATCTCTAAGTGATCAGGTAACTAATACTGCAGACCAAGTCACATGTTAGTCACTAATTTAAACACCTGAACTTAGTCACTTAAAAAACCATCTACTTACTACATGCTAAGCACTTCTACAGACCAAGTTACATGTCACTCACGAAGTTTAACACCTCACCTTAGGTGTTGTTCTGTTCGTCTTATTCTTATTACTTATTGCTTATTCTTATTTTATTCAGATCAGATCAGATCAGAAAAATTCAGATCAGATCAGATCAAATCAAAAAAATTCAGATCAGATCAGATCAGAAAGATTCAGATCAGATCAGATCAGATCAGAAAGATTCAGATCAGATCAGAAAGATTCAGATCAGATCAGACCAGATCAGAAACATTCAGATCAAATCAGATCAGAAAAGTTCAAACATGATTTATCACTTTTATTATTATATTAAGGAAAAATTGATTGTAATAATCCCAACTATTGGCGGTCCGCTTATAATAATCCCAACTATCGATTATTTCAGAATAATCCCAACTTTAGGGTCCTTCCGCCAATAACAGTTCTGTAAATAAATTCATGTATTTTCTGAAGTGGATGAGAAGAGATATAGCAAGTAATCTCTATAAATAATCTCAACTTTTAATTTTTACGTTTAATTTCTATTTAAAATTCACTTTTATAGAAGGTAATATTTGGTCATGGACCATTATTGGCGGATGGTTCACATAGTTGGGATTATACAAAAATAATCAATAGTTGGGATTATTGTTAGCGGATCGACAATAGTTGGGATTATTATTTTCAATTTTTCCTTATATTAATTATTATTATTAATATTGTTATTACTATTATGATTATTATTATTATATAATTATTATTAAAAATAATATGATTAAAAAAATAAGATATTAATAATAGTTATAATATTTTAATATAATAATAGTAATATAAATGCAATTATTAAGAAGACTATTATTATTATTATTACAATATAATAATAATATGATTAATATTATTATAATATTATATTATAATTATATGTAATTATAATTATGATTACAATTATAATTCTTATAACTATAAGTATAATTAATTGTAATTATTATAATTATATCTATAATTAATCATAATTATAATTGTAATTAATTATAATTATAATAATTATAATTATAATTACAATCATAATTATAAGTATGATTACAATTATAATTATAATATAATATTGTAATAATATAATACTAATTATAATAATAATCATATTAGTATTATTACATTATTGTAATAATAATATTAATATAATAATATCGTTATAATAATATTAATTGTATTTATATTACTATTATTATATTATAATATTATAATTAATGTTAATATAATTATAATTATTATTAATTATAATTATAATAATTATAGTTATACTCATAATTATATTATAATTATAATTTATGATTATAATTAGTATTTTTATTATAATTATTAATATTATTATTATTATTACTACTACTATTGTAATTATTTTACGGAGTAATTATAATAATATTGATAACTATAGTTACAATTATAGTGATAAATATTGTAATTATAATTACAATTATAATTATATAAGTAATTATAATTAAAAATATAATTACAATTATAATTATATCTATATTTATAATTAGTGTAATAGGTATAAATTTTTTCATTTTAAATTCAATTTTAATTATTATTATTATTATTATTATTATTATTATTATTATTATAGTTACGATTATAATTATAATTTTATTTAAATTATATTTGTAATTGCAATTATAATAATTATAATTCTAATTATAATTATAATCATAGAAATATTCAAACCAGATCAAATCAGAAAGATTCAGATCAGATCAGAAGGATTCAGATCAGAAAGATTCAGATCAAATCAGACCAGATCAGAAAGACTCAGATCAGATCAGAAAGATTCAGATCAGATCAGATCAGAAAGATTCACATCAGATCAGATCAGATCAGAAAAATTCAGATCAGAAACATTCAGATCAGACGAAGAGAACAGCTTCTTAGGGCATCCGTAGTGGGGGTGTGGGTTGCTAAAAAATGGATTGCCACATCATGTGAAGGGACTGTACGCTAATTTTACTTGCTCCAACGGCACGGTGTAATCCTCTGTTGCTGAGTTGGACTGAAAAAAACGCACACCTTCTATTCATTTTTCTACTTTCAGCATGCCTCTCCCACGGTGTGACTCAGCAGAGTTGTAACTTCCAGCATTTTTTTTAAATTTAAACAGCGTGCGTATACATAAATAATCAAAACAATTTATCCAATACTCTACGGTTGTTTTCACCTTTTCAATTAAAGTAAAATTATTGATCTATTGTTTTGACTGCCTTTAAACAAGATAAGTTGAGAGCCCGTTTGGTAGCACGAAAATCGGCTGTTTTGGCTGATTCTGCTGAAATTTCTGAAGTTCTGGCTGAAGTAGCTGCATTGGCTGATTTAAGAAACAATTAGTTTTAGAATATATTTTATTAATAAAATAAAGAAAAAATTATATGTAAAATTAGCTAAAATAGTCATCTACAGTAACTTCAGCCAAAACAGCCAGAAAATTAACTTCAACCTTACTTTTTCTGCTTATTACACAACTCAGCACGCGAAAGTAAAAGTTACGTGTTTGGTGAAAAAGTCGGCTGATAAGCCGAAAAACAGTGCTGCCAAACGACCTCTAAAATAGTACTCCGTAAGAATTGTACTTGGTACTAAATAATACGGAGTAGTGTAAATAATACGGAGTACTCCGTAACAATTCTACAAGGATAATTTGCTTGTTTGGGCAAGCAAATAGTACAATTTAATTGCTAATACGGAGTATTAAATAATAATAGTGTAAGAATCTATTTCTTAAACTCACGGTTCCATTGGAGCGTAAATAGTATTTTAAATGTGCATGTGTCCACCTCACCTTGATAGGCCCTCTATCCAAGTGATATGTCCATTTTTTATGGGGTACAATCCACAGTCCCATTAAAGATGCTCTTAGTCACTTAAAAAGCCTTCTTCTTACTATGTGCTCCCTAAGTACTTTTGCAGACCAAGTGACACGTAAGTCACTAAGCATACCACCTCATCTTAGTCACTTAAAAAAACAATCTACTTACTATGTGCTCCGTAAGTACTTCCGCAGACCATGCTGTTCTGTTTGTCTTATTCTTATTACTTATTGCTTATTCTTATTTTATTCAGATCAGATCAGATCAGATCAGATCAGAAAAATTCAGATCAGATCAGAAAGATTCAGATCAGATCAGAAAGATTCAGATCAGATCAGACCAGATCAGAAACATTCAGATCAGATAAGAAACATTCATATCAGATCAGAAAAGTTCAAACATGATTTATCACTTTTATTATTATATTAATTATTATTATTAATATTGCTATTACTATTATGATTATTATTATTATTATTATTATTATTATTATTATTATTATTATTATTATTATTATTATTATATAATTATTATTAATAATATTAATAATAATATGATAAAAAAATAAGATATTAATAATAGTTATAATATTTTAATATAATAATAGTAATATAAATGCAATTATTAAGAAGACTATTTTATTATTATTATTATTATTATTATTATTACAATATTATTATAATAATAATAATAATAATACGATTAATATTATTATAATATTATATTACAATTATATGTAATTATAATTATAATTACAAATATAATTCTTATAATTATAAGTATAATTAATTGTAATTATTATAATTATATTTATAATTAATTATAATTATAATTGTAATTAATTAAAATTATAATAATTATAATTATAATTACAATCATAATTATAAGTATGATTACAATTATAATTATAATATAATATTATAATAATATAATACCTATTATAATAATAATAATCATATTATTATTATTATTATATTATTGTAATAATAATATTAATTGTATTTATATTACTATTATTATATTATAATATTATAATATTATAATTAATGTTAGTATAATTATAATTATAATTATTATTAATTATATTTATAATAATTATAATTATACTTATAATTATATTATAATTATAATTTATGATTATAATTAGTATTTTTATTATAATTATTAATATTATTATTATTATTATTACTATTGTAATTATTTTACGGAGTAATTATAATAATATTGATAACTACAGTTACAATTATAGTGATAAATATTGTAATGATAATTACAATTATAATTATATAAGTAATTATAATTAAAAATATAATTACAATTATAATTATATCTATATTTATAATTAGTGTAGTAGGTATAAATTTTTTCATTTTAAATTTAATTTTAATTATTATTATTATTATTATTATTATTATAGTTATGATTATAAATATAATTTTATTTAAATTATATTTGTAATTGCAATTATAATAATTATAATTCTAATTATAATTATAATCATAGAAATATTCAAACCATATCAGAAAGATTCAGATCAAATCAGAAGGATTCAGATCAAATCAGAAAGATTCAGATCAGATCAGACCAGATCAGAAAGATTCAGATCAGATCAGAAAGATTCAGATCAGAAAAATCAGATCAGATCAGATTAGAACTTAAAAAATTCAGATCAGAAACATTCAGATCAGACGAAGAGAACAGCTTCCAAGTTACATGTTAGTCACTAAATTTAACACCTCATTTTAGTCACTTAAAAAACATTTTAGTTACTACGTCCTCACTATGTACTTCGGCAGACCAAGTTAAATGTTTGTCACTAAATTTAACACCTCATATTAGTCACTTAAAAAACAATTTAGTTACTGCGTGCTCACTAATTACTTCGGGGTACCTATTTAGCATGTCTGTCACTACATATACCACCACATCTTAGTCACTAAAAAAGATAACTCCTCACCCTCGTCACTGAAGAACCCATCAACTAACTACACCATCACTACACTACATCAGTGGTGGACCCGGTTCGGGCCGCCCGGCCCGTCACTGTACGGGCCCGGAACCGGCCCGGTTCTCGGGTCCGGGTTCGGTTCGGGCACCGAACCGGTGGGAGAAGCGGGTCCGGGCTCGGGTTCTGTTTTTGGTGGCCCGGCCCGGCTGGGTCGGGCCCGGGCCCGGGCGTAACGGTCATTTTTATTAAAAAAAAAAAATCTTTCAATTTTAAAAAATCCATTTTGGCTGAACAGCCACTTCCCAAACGGCTATATAGCCGTTGGGTGGGTACCAGGGGGGTCCGGGGCCTTTGGGGGGTGGGGTGGGGGGTGGGGGGTGGGGGTTAAAAAAAACCTATAAATACTCATAATTTTAAACATTTTTTCACACCTCTTCTCCAACTCTCCCTAAATCCTACTCTCTACTCATCTCCAATTCTCCATATTCATCTTCTCAAATTCTCTTATTCTCCTTTATATTTTATATAGCGGTTCAAAAACATCTATAAATACATCTATTTTCTAACATTTTTCTACACCTCTTCTCCAATTCTTCTCCAACTCTTCTCCATCTTCATCTTCTCTTATTATCCTACATTCCTACTTATACATATACCATTTTAAATATGGAAAGTACATCTTCCCTTATGCAAAACAATTTTGACAAGTGGAAGGACCCGAAGACCGGACTGTGGTGGGCAACTTGCAGGTGGTGCAAGAAAGAGTGTTGCTTGGGGCGTTCATACGGATACAGGATGCCAATAAAACATATAAAGTCCTGTGACAAAGGGAAAACAACAACCAACGGTGGCAGAAATCCCAATTGATATTCATTAGAAAATGTATTTCGTATTGTTATTTTTTTCTCAATTCTCAAATGTAGTTCTTATTTCAAATAAATGCACTTGAACTTTGTTTTTAATAGGAATTTGTATAATATATAATTAATTAAAAAAAAAATGGCCCGGCCCGGCGGGTGGCCCGACCCGTGACCCGGGCGGGTGGCCCGGCCCAAACCGGAACCGGTCACTGCCCGGGCCGGTCCGGGGCCTACCATTACAAGACCCGAGGCCTGACCGGGCCTTGACCAGGCCCGGGTCCATCACTACACTACATGTTAAAAAAATTAAAATATTGGTCATTGAAAACTAAATCATCAACATGGTCACTAACAATACCATCTACTAACTGTGCCATCACAGACCTACTACTTCCCCATGTACAAAGCCAATTTCATGAATACATAACAAAATAAAAACAACTTACTGGGACTTCCTTATTTACTAAACAAGTAATTACTGAATTGGTGGTCATCAATGAGCACTCAAAATTGACCAAAATAATTTATTCATTTTCACTCACACATAAAAATTTGTTTCCAGAACAACCGAATCACTGCTATTGCTAACATTATTTATCTCCAAAATTTTCCAAACTCAAAGTAAAAAAAACAAAGCTTAAAAGTTCAATGATGCCTTGGTATTGGGTTGTTGCATGTCTTTTGGTTATGACCTTGCTCCTTACACCTTCCACATTTTTGCTTCTTTAGAAATTCACCTGTTGAGGGAATCCTTTTCTTTTTCGGCCTCCCCGCTGCACGTTTATCTGATATTGGTGATTTAACCACCCAATTTCTAATTCCCACTGGAGCATCATACAGAGAATATGAACCTAAGGGCGGGACAGAACCCTTATGTGCTTCTACCCATGACTCGCTACTATAGTAACTTGAAACGTGGTCGTAACAAGACAGCCCATTACGGTTACATATAGCTGCTACCCGCGTGCACACAGACAAAATCTTCTAGTTGAAACTCTCTGCAACTACATTTGCGTTCCACAAGGTCAACAGCATATGCTCTACAGTTTTTATCAATCACCTCAAATGCAAATGCCCTGCAGCTGTTACTTACATTACAAAGTCATCAAATTCTTTGTCATAATCTAACAGTCACCCAAACATCATTTTATCTTTTGTGTTAACTATGCAGCCTATAATTGTTATATCTACTCCTCTGATCAATTACTTGCTTTAAACAACTTGAACTTTTCTAGTTCTTATTGTCAAGAACTACTATTTTTTAGTTACTTAATGTTGGTATATCTACAATTAAGAAGCTGTTCTCTTCGCCTGATCTGAATGTTTCTGATCTGAATTTTTTAAGTTCTGATCTGATCTGATCTGAATTTTTCTGATCTGATCTGATCTGATCTGAATCTTTCTGATCTGATCTGATCTGATCTGAATCTTTCTGATCTGATCTGATCTGATCTGAATCTTCCTGATCTGATCTGAATGTTTCTGATCTGGTCTGATCTGATCTGAATGTTTCTGATCTGATCTGAATCCTTCTGATCTGATCTGAATCTTTCTGATCTGATCTGATTTGAATATTTCTATGATTATAATTATAATTATAATTATTATAATTGCAATTACAAATATAACTTAAATAAAATTATAATTATAATCGTAACTATAATAATAATAATAATTAAAATTAAATTTAAAATGAAAAAATTTATACATATTACACTAATTATAAATATAGATATAATTATAATTGTAATTATATTTTTAATTATAATTACTTATATAATTATAATTGTAATTATAATTACAATATTTATCTCTATAATTGTAACTATAGTTATCAATATTATTATAATTACTCCGTAAAATAATTACAATAGTAACAATAATAATAATAATATTAATAATTATAATAAAAATAATAATTATAATCATAAATTATAACTATAATATAATTATAAGTATATTTATAATTAATAATAATTATAATTATATTAACATTAATTATAATATTATAATATTATAATAGTAATATAAATACAATTAATATTATTATAACGATATTATTATATTAATATTATTATTACAATAACATAATAATAATAATAATAATAATAATAATAATAATAATAATAATAATAATAATAATAATAATAATAATAATAATAATAATAATAATAATAATAATAATAATAATAATAATAATAATAATAATAATAATAATAATAATAATAATAATAATAATAATAATAATAATAATAATAATAATAATAATAATAATAATAATAATAATAATAATAATAATAATAATAATAATAATAATAATAATAATAATAATAATAATAATAATAATAATAATAATAATAATAATAATAATAATAATAATAATAATAATAATAATAATAATAATAATAATAATAATAATAATAATAATAATAATAATAATAATAATAATAATAATAATAATAATAATAATAATAATAATAATAATAATAATAATAATAATAATAATAATAATAATAATAATAATAATAATAATAATAATAATAATAATAATAATAATAATAATAATAATAATAATAATAATAATAATAATATAATTAGTATTATATTATTATAATATTATATTATAATTATAATTATAATCATAATTATAATTACATCATAATTATAATTATTATAATTATAATTAATTACAATTATAATTATAATTAATTATAGATATAATTATAATAATTACAATTGATATACTTATAATTATAAGAATTATAATTGTAAGTATAATTATAATTACATATAATTATAATATAATATTATAATAATATTAATCATATTATTATTATTATAATATTGTAATAATAATGGTTTTCTTAATAATTGCATTTATATTACTATTATTATATTAAAATATTATAACTATATTAATATCTTATTTTTTTATCATATTATTATTAATATTATTAATAATAATTATATAATAATAATCATAATAGTAATAACAATATTAATAATAATAATTAATATAATAATAAAAGTGATAAATCATGTTTGAACTTTTCTGATCTGATTTGATCTGAATGTTTCTGATCTGATCTGAATGTTTCTGATCTGGTCTGATCTGATCTGAATCTTTCTGATCTGATCTGAATCTTTCTGATCTGATCTGATCTGAATTTTTCTGATCTGATCTGATCTGAATTTTTCTGATCTGATCTGATCTGAATAAAATAAGAATAAGTAATAAGTAATAAGAATAAGACGAACAGAACAGCACCTAAGATACACATCACCATTGAGATTTGAGACTAGTCATTCATACTAGTTTGGTTTTTTGACGTCACTAATGCCTTAATGTTTGTGCACCTTTTTATACCAACTGATCCCTAATCACGTTGAGCAACAATTGTTTACTTTTGGTATTTTTTTATTATTTTTCCTACTACTAATGTTGTCTATTTCCCATAACACGTAACTATAGAATTACTTAAACCTAAACCTCACTATCGCAGATTTCACATGTTCTCATAGAACAAGACATCGCAAATTTGCCGTATTTATCCTTCGCTAAGCTATCAACAAAAAAAATAAAACGCTAATACCTTCAGTGCAGTCGTTGACAAGCATGGAAAAATTGAAGAGCTTTTTTTCAGATGATCTTGGACTGTGCTTGAATTGGCTGGAATACCAGATCGATACGTATATGTGTCATTCACGAATCACGTATGCTTCCTAAATTTGAGGACGTCAGTTACCGAATTAGTGCTGGACTCGGGCCGGTTCGGGCCCGGTTCGGGCCTGGGCCTGGGCCCGGCCGGGCCTCGGGCCAGGAAAGGGAGGCCCGAGCCCGAACCGCCGGTGGCCGGTTCCGGTCCCGGTTCCGGGCCAAACCGGGCCGGGCCGAACCGGCCCAATTATTTTTTTTTTTTTTTGTTCTCCTATTTAATCCCCTACCCCTCCCCCTCAACCCCAAACCATCCCAAACCACCTCAAATGGCCCAAAATACCTAATCCAACCTAAAACTTAAAAAAATTTCAAAAAAAAAAAAAAATTAAAATCCGGCCCGGACCGGGCCCGAACCGGCCAGTTCACCAAAACCTAGGCCCGAGCCCGAACCGCCCAGCAGCCGGGCCGGGCCGAACCGAACCGGTGGACCCACCGGGCCCCGGGCCGGGCCGGGCCAAACAGTAACCGGGCCGGGCCGGTTCCGGGCCGGGCCGCCCGGCCCGAGTCCAGCACTATACCGAATTAGTGTAATTTATCATCAATTATATTCTTTACTTAAAATTGGCTAGCGGATTTATATTGAAAGCCTGCTTTTCCGGTCCCCTGTAACTGCTTGGAGTCATATGTCTGGAATTTTAAAAGTCTAGTCACTTTAGAGGCAAACCGTATACTAATAGTAATAATGATAAAATAAGGCCTAGTTTACTAACATGACTTGATTTCCGCTAGTTGCTAATTTGAGTTAACAAGAGGTTCCAGTAAGAGTGGGTTGAGTGGGTTACAGGGCTACGGTCTATTTGTGAAAAGAAGAGTCTAACAAGTCTATTTTTAAAACAACTTTGAAAAGTAACAAAAGTGATACTCCGTATTATTTATACCTTTTGGACTATTTGTGAAAAATTCCCATAACATTTTCCACCGATGATAACTCATAGTTTCTATCTTTATCATAAGATTTCTGATCTTTAATGCTTCAAACAATTTAATTTAATGCTTGAAATTGTATACTGTGCAACGCACGGATGAAAAATCTAGTTTATTGTAAGATAAACTTGCAATCAATAGCTTAATCACTCATCTCTACTCTTTCTATAACTTTCAACTTAAAGGAGAAGTTAGAGACTCGAGCTCGACAAGTGTGTTGTGAGTTGTAACCGTTCTATACTTGCAAAATAAAATGTGACACACTTTACATTTCTTCTCTTATTGCTTTGCTTGCTACCATCTATTTGCTAACTAATCACACTAATATATTGAGAAATAAAGATCCAATGTGACACGGACTGTTGCGCCTTCAGAGCACGAGGACTTAACATCAACATATCCTTATATAGATTTCAACAATTTTAAAAAAGTTATAATATTTTGAAAATGTTCTAAATTGCTTTGAAATTTGAAAAGAAATTCAAAATTTTCCCAAGATGGGATCCTAATGGACAGCTCTGTTACGGGCTGATATGGACATAGGAAGATAGGATTTTAGAATTAAAACCCTGGGGGTAACTAGAACTAGCCCAACTTAGGGGTGATTTTATTCCCTCAAAAGTAGAGCCTTTATCAAGAATTGCCACAACTAGTTTGGAATCCGAAACGTATTTTACCCAAAAATTCTGGTCACAGTCGCAACATGACACCCATGCAATAACTACTCCATACTCAACAACACCACAAGTTCATAACAATAATAGTAGAGTGACTTTACTAAGTTCAAGCAACAGATTCTCAATACTCAGCACCACCACAAGTTCATAATAATAATAGCAGAATAACTTAACTGAGTTCAAGCACATGATTCTGAGTACTCAACAACACCACAAGTTCATGATAATAATAGAGTGGCTTAACTATGTTCAAGCTCAGAGTATTAAACAACATCCGGTCATTCACATTATATAACTTGCCCGAGATACCACAAGCAACAACCATAGGCAGACCAAAACACACACATAAGTGTGTGTGTTACTCTTCAAAGCACTTTGTGTGCGTTTCATCAGTCTCAACCGTCAAAAGTGAATATTGTTGACGCAAACAAATACTATCAAATTCAAGTGCTGAGGTTACAATTTACAAACGACTCCTCATCATATTCAAAGGGACATTAGAACATCTATTGGACGTAAGATGCATATTTCTTTGTGCTTTTACTTTTGCTTGGACCCTAAACTGTACAGTTTATTCAATTTTTTTATTTTTTATTTTCAAATTACAACTGCTTTTACCACTTATCAAATTCTTTTAAATAAAATATTTGTAAGATCTGTTTCCCTTTCAAGTAAATATATACAATCACATATTTGCATCTTATTAAAATTGGTGCAAAGTGTAATAATAAAATAAAGGGAAAACTGTCAAATAGGTCCTTGTACTTTTGCAAAAAAGTCAATCAAGTCCTACTACTTTTAAATGAATCAATTAGGTCCATGAAGTGTAAAAAGTTGGTCAAATTAGCTATTTTGCAGGTAGTGATCCGGTTTCCCGGTTGACAGGTGACGTGGTTGTCCATAAATGTCCATTTGGCATTTTCTTTTATAATTTTCTTTTATTTTTTAATCTTTCTAATCTTTCCTTTTCTCTTTCTTTGTCTCCCAGTGCATTCTTTCTTCTCCGGGATGACCCTATCCACATTTCCTGACCTTCTTTCTTCTCTGGCAGATCGACCTCCACCACCGGCTGACAGCCTCCATCTCTGATTGCAGATCCATCTCCACCGCCGCGACCTCCGCCACCCCTACCTCCATACCCATCAACTCCGCCGCCTCTACCTCCACACCCACCACCTCTGCCGCCCCTACCTGGCTACATCCATACCCACCACTCTTACCGTCTTGCCGCTGTTAACCCCATGTCCACCACCTCCGCCGCCGTAACATTAAACACACCAATTCCGGCGAGTCAGCGTCCTTACCTCCACACCCACGACCTCCGCCACGTCGACGTCCATACCCACCACCTCCGATCCGCCGCCCCTACCTCTGTATACTTCCATAGCCAAAGCCTCCCAGGCAGTCTCATACCCATCTATGTTAGGTGATGGAGACCAAAACAAGGGCAAGGAGGGACTGAGAGTTGAGAAAACAAAGAAAGAAAGAAGAAAGAAGAAAAAAGAAAAGGAGAAGAAGAATGGGGATCGGAAGAAGAAGGGGATCTGGATCTGCCGGAGAGAAGAGGAAAAGACACAAGTATAAAGAAAGGAGGGGAAACTAGAAAGAAAAAGAAAAACTTACAGAAGGAAAAAGCGTAAAAACTAATGGAAACAGTAAAAAAATTGTCATGCTAGATGTCTATGGACCCACCAACCGGGAAACCGGATCATTACCGGGAGAATAGCTAAATTGGTCGATTTCTAATACTTCATGGACCTAATTGATTCACATAAAAGTAAAAGGACTCAATTGACTTTTTCATAAAAGTACAGGGACTTATTTGACAGTTTTCCCTAAAATAAAGAATGATTTTTGCATTAAAACACAACATCTGAAAGTGTAATCAGTCCAACAACTATACATAAACAAAGCATGAAATAGTTTACTGATATTCATTTAGAAAGTACTAACCACATCTTCCATTCTATGTTGTTTTGGTTCTGGCCTTAAGAAGAACAATCGAAAATAGACCGATCCGTCTTTTCTTGCCCAGTAGTTGGCGAGTGCTTGATAATTTGCCTCTTTTTCCGAAGCCACGTCTTTAACCACCATGGTTATGAAAAGAGCGTAGTAATTTGTGTTGGCTCGAATAACCCGTACAAGTTCCAGCTCTGGACTCTGCATTGCATAAATTGGAAACCACATCAATTATAATCTCAATCGGTATTTGGTAACTAATAATAACATGTGAAAAGAACATATAACCTCGGGGTTCTCGAGTTTGTGCATCTTTATTGCACGACGAGCTGCCTCATAAACCTCAGCTTTTTCGGTTGCATCGTTCTCAATGTCCACAGGCTCAATTCCACCAACGATACCAACACCATCCGGCCATAAACTCATATCCACATGAAAACCCTATGATTGATTCAACAAACAATCCGGCATCAAATTCTAAGAATAAAAGTGTGGAACAATGTTCGAAAATTGCTTATTGAGGGCAAATTCTAAGGCGTAAATCAAATCAATTTGTAGACAAATTATGTGTGTGTATTTATTGACAAATAAGCATAAATATTTGTGTGTGTATAGGGCGATTTGTAATTTGTATCGTACGCCTCAGCCCTGAAAGACGTAAAAGTAGTTTGGCCTTTAATCGATCCATCGCAACGTGCCTGGAAATCTACAATTCTATTTAGCAATTTCAAACCATGATTTGGTTATATGTAATACATCACTTACATGATACTTCCGAACGTGATCCTGGTAAGATAAGAATAACTCCATCTGCTCTTCCGTCAGGGTCGGCCCATTAAAATCATCGCTATCGCTTTCCTCGTCTTCTGTCTTAGCCCTCTTCTGAAGTGGTGAACCATCGCCCTCCTCAGAACTCCGCTCCTCGTCAAGCGCCTCCGCCTCATCCTCCAACCCTACATCGAAATAAATCGGAAGCAGACACATGGATGGCATCTTCAGCGTCCCGGATCTGTTCAATCACAATTCTGATGCTTCACCCTCTTGGATATCGTCAATAACTGAAGCTTCTTGTCTTGGTTGGTAAACAATGTATGCCATAAAACCTCAAATTATGGGGCATACATTGTTATGGGCTAGGGCTCATTTAAAACCGAACAGGCTACTCAATATTTTTAAAACAAGGCTTTGTTTGCAAACCTAAAAAAAATACTCCGCAAGTGATTCAAACATGTGATCTTCTCTTTAGAGTGTCACTGTGATGCCATCAGACTACAAAGTAATTAACGATCTCCCCAGTTTCTAAAAAAATGATTCTATGAGTAATTTGGAGCTTCAGAAGTACTTCTGGACTTTCACCCAAACACTCCAACTTATGTTTCTTCTCTCTGAAGAAGCATAAGCAATTTAAAGAATCAAATCCAAACACCCCTAAATAGGGGTAGGCGCGGTCCGGAACGGTCCGGTAAACTAGTAAAACCCGTAATGTATCCTTTACGTTTTTTACAGTCCGGTACGGTCCGGTTTCAAGGATGAAACCGTTCGGTTCCATGTCATTTCGGAACAGTACAAAATGGTACGGTACAATGCCAAACACATGCTAAAAATTTTGAACAAATCTTGCAATTAGTAGATATCTTGACAACAGCAACCTCGCTTGTAATGTTGATATAAATACAAGAAATTGCATATGTAGTACTAAAGTTCACAAGTACACAAATATTGCAACACAACTAAGAAAAAGTATAGCAAAATGATGACGCACGAGATAAATATCATCTTTAATTTACTAAGTTCATATGAAAATATAAAAAGAATATCATCAAATTGTTGAATATAACAGAAATCTTCAATGTTCTTCTTCTTTAATCTAGGTTAAATATTTCTCCGTAGTTCTAATTTAATTTATTATAGTTGAAACTTGAGAGCTAATATTTAAACCAGATTAGTTATGTTGTAAAATTGCGCAAACATGATACTACAAAAAGTCATGTACACTACATTACTAGAAATGAATAGTCTTTAATGATTTCTAAAATTTTAATATTCTTTCAATACATATCAATATATAACATAAATTATCTAAAAAGAAAAAATAACAATATATATATAATCTAAACACACACATTTAGCTAGTTTAGGAGCACATGAATATATAATCTATTGGTATAGAAAATTTATAAAAAATTCAAATACATTTTCGAACGGTTCGGTCCGGTATTTTTCGGTACTCAAAATCTAGGACCGGTCCCGTACCCGTTTCGAATGGTTCGGTTTCGGTACGGGACAAAAATCTATAGAGCCGTTTAAATACCCGGTATCCGGTTCGGTACCATTACGGGACGGTTCAGTACCTGTTCGGTTCGGCTTTTATGCCCACCCCTACCCCTAAATAAGCTAAAAAGAGTGATATCAAGTAGGGGAGAGCAAACCGACCCTACCTGATTGACCCGATCGGATATATCTGATTTCATTTTTTGGGTCGGATAACCCGACCCGAATGACCCAAAATCCGATCCGATTTTTGCAACCCGAGAGTTAAGCGGGTAGCGAGTAGGGTTATCAATTATGCTACCCGACCTGCCCGAAAACCCGAACTAGGGTAGTATATATACTACTTTGAATTATTATGCATATTCAAATATCTCAATTATTGTATGCCAATTACCATATTATGAATATTCAAATATTCCAATTGCCGTATTTGTAAAACTATAACTTTGAATGTTGTATTGTTATGATTTTGAATGATAGTTTGACCAATTATCATTTTATTTATCACAATATCAAATATGCCAATCACCGTATATTATTATTTCACATGTTCAAATATGTCAATTACCATATTTATACAAGTATTACTTTGAATGTTATACTAGGAGCATCTCCAATGCTAAAACGTTAACGGTACATATGTGGCATGGAAAATAACCTATTAAAAAATAATAAATACAATATCTCTCTCCTTATTTGAAGGATCTTACATCATTTTGGTATGTTTTTCTTTACAATGTCAAGCACAATGTCTAGATGTAGACATTGTGATTGACATTGCAGACAAAAACTTACCATAAACACATAAGACCGTAGAAAGAAGAAGAAAGATATTGTACTTATTGTTTTTTAATTGGTTATTTCTCATGCTACTGTATGCACCGTTAACGTTTTAGCATTGGAGATGCTCTAGTATAACTTTGAATGATATTTTTACCAATTACCATTTTATTAATCACAATTTCAAAAATAATAAATTAAAATCCGAATGGACCCGGAAACCGAAACAACTTCAAAGCAAACTGCCCTCATCCTTTGGTGTCCAAGAGATAAAGACAAGAGGGCGAGAAGAAGTTTGATCAAAGTGCCAGAAGAAGGAAGGCACTTGATGTGAGTTTTCTCGCACTTAAAAAGGTCGTAGGAAAGTGGTTGATAGTACGAGTATCGTCTCCACAAGGAAATATGAATTAACTAAATTTAGCGATGAAAATAAATAAAATAAATGCAATGTGCAAGATTGATTGGTCGAATTGAAATTAAACTAATGTGAATGAACGATTAAATTAAGAGATTGGTTTCTCTCTAATTAACGACGAAGGGAACATGGATTGATTCTAGGATAAAAAGATTTCTGATAGATCAGACTTAATTACATAAAATTAATTTAATTGAACCTAGTTAATCATTACTTAGTTCTTACCGTTTTCACGGCGTAGAGTACAATAATTCAGGGAACTAGGCTGATCTCTCATGGGACAGGATCCTAAATTATTGTCAAGACGAGCGAGCTTACGGCCCCTTAATCGCTACTAATCTCTTAGCGAGCGTTATGTGTGTGTGTATGTGTCTTAGAATAAACTAGATATCTCTTAATTTATTCTACAAGCAATTGTAATTCTGGCGGCCGTTTTAGGTTACAAGAAACATCGGTTAAATTATTCAAACACAAATTAAATGACATTCATGCAATTGATCCATCAAGAAACCAGTCTTACATCATGATTAGGGCTGGACTCGGTCCGGTTCGGGCCTCGAACCGGCCGGGCCTCGGTTTGTAAAAATTGGGCCCGGGCCCGGCCCGCTAGTAGACGGGTGCCGGTTCGGGCCGGGTGACCCGGCCGGGCCCCGGGTCGGGTGAACCGCCGGGTCGGGTCGGGCCTTTAATTTTTTTTTTTTAATGTTAAAATATACATCTTTTTGGATATTATAAAACAATCTTCAAGCGCATTTATGTGAAATAGGAATTACATTTGAGAATTGAGAACAATTAAATCTAATACATTTTGTAATAAGTAATAATAATATAATATAATTAATTGTAAGTTTCTAACTTTCTAAGTTGTAAGTTGTAACTTGATTAATTTGAGAATTGCGACATATAAAAAAATATAATGTATATTGATTTGAAATATGAACTACAAATCTACAAGTTGACAAATTACAATAGAGAATTGAGGATAAAATAATAAATTGTAAAATACTAATCAATCGGAATCTCTGGCATAGGTAGAACCACCCTCGGTTGATTCATCCATAAAGTCTTGGGAGGGGGTGATGCTAACTTCTTGAGTTCTACGTCTTGCCTTCAACCAATCGTGGTAGCATATAAGCGTCTCAAGAGATTCGGCACTCAAACACGTTCTCGATTTAGTTAGGACGTTGCCGGCCGAACTAAATTCTTGTTCAACGGCAACTGTTGAAACCGGCATTGATAGTACTTGCTTAGCCATCCATGCTAAAATCGGGAACATTCTTTCTTTTGACTTCCACCACTTTAGGACGTCAAATTCTTCATTTTCTACAAACTCAACTTCATAGTTAGTATACAAAGCAATCTCATTAATTGTGCTTTGTTCAGTAGTGTGAGTTGTTTTAGTTTTTTTCATAAGATTGCCAAATGCAGATTTAAAAAGTGATTTTCCTTTAGATGAAGATGTTTGGGTCGGGGGGAGGGGGCACGTTGCCATATTGTGCACGAAACTCATTAAATAAAGAATAGAATAAACTACTAACCTCGTTGTATTCAGATTGCGGATCTATAGGGTTATCTTCATACATTGGAAAATCCTCTCCTTAATAGCACTACAATTCTAGGAAAAAAGTTCCCGCTCACCCGCCTCTCACTTTTATCCGTCCGATTTTCTTACACCTCATCTACGGCTTCTAATTTCGTTCATTCTCGCGTTCCTTCTGCACCTCAAATCGACCCAAACACCTGAATCATATCATCCCTATCGATAATTCTTCTTCTCAAATTTGAATAACCTACACACCGCCTTCAATTTGAAATCCTCCAGATCTATGGATGCTCTTGTTTCTTTCTACATCTCACACCGCCCCAACACCTGAAATCCTTCACTCATTTCATCCCTTCACATCAACAAATGGATGCTGCTGTTTGGTACCGCTATCGCCGCTCACCTAATCCGCCATCTCCGAGGAACAGAGCGACCGATAATCATCCAAATACCGTTCATTCATGTAATCCCTGAATCCACTAATTCTTCTTTGGTATGGTTTTGGTTAAATTGACCATGTGCGTACTTGTGCTCTGGATTTTGTGAAAGAATAAGTTTAATTTAGTTTCCCTAATTTGAGTTAAATAGTGTTCTTCAATACTATATACCATATTCACACCATTTCACAATACTTTTTATGTTATTGGGTTTATTTTAAGAAATGGTCTTCCTTCTTTTTAGTTTTTTTGGAATGAGTCAAGACTTGGGAAATGGATCCTAATCACACTAATGGTATATGGGATAGTTTGTTATCTTTCAGCATATCTTATTCAATCTTAGACATTCTTCTTCAAAAAAGAAGATAAATTTGTTAAGCTTCACATTCACATTTACCTATGAATCATGCTCCATTTCATTTTTTTCTTATTGTTAAGCTTCATCATTTTATGTAATCTCTATACTTTGCCTATGTCATGTTTGGTAAAATGCTTAGGTGGATATTCTAAAAAATGTTTAGATGAAGAAAACAACCTGGAAATACTCAGTGGCAAGTAGAATGATGTTAATTTAGCCTATATGCTTTCAATGTCTTTGTTGATTTCACAACATCATAATTTCTACAGCCAGCTTCGAAGTTATCTATGGAAAAATATATGCCAA